GATCACAGGTACAAGCAGCAAGAAAGAGCTGCTCTCTTTCAGATCAAAAGGAGCCAAGCGAGGTGGCTTGGGTGTCTGATTAGGACAGGGGTGTCTAACTCCAGGCCTCAAGGGCCGGTGTCCTGCAGGTTTTAGATGTGTCCTTAATCCAACACAGCTGATTTAAATGGCTAAATTACCCCCTCGACATGTCTTGAAGTTCTCCAGAGGCCTGGTAATGAACTAATCATTGGATTCAGGTGTGTCAAAAACCTGCAGGACACCGGCCCTTGAGGCCTGGAGTTGGACACCCTTGGACTAGGATGTCTCTCAAATGACTCCTAGGACAGGTATTTCTAGTACGTCCTACCAAGAGGAGGCCCTGGGGCAGACCCAATACATGCTGGAGAGATCACATCTCTTGGCTGGCTTGGGAACACATCAGTGCCTAGGGAGAGGGAGGTGTAAGCCTCTCTGCATAGACTGCTGCCCTCAAACCCAGATAAGCAGCAAGAAATTGGATGGATGGTGAACTTATTATACTTGCAGCTCCATATTTTTATTCTTTGACTTCACAAAAATAACTTAGCATGATTCATAGTTTAAAATAACACTCAGCTAAATCATTTGGAACCAACTCAGTTCAGCCATTTAAACTCCTGTCTCTATAAGGTCACCCTCTCAATGACCCAGCTCTTCTGACTAGCTGACCCTTCCAGTCAGAAGGCTCAAACAGGACTATGTATGACAACATTCAGACAGTAGAAGTAACTGCTGATGTTGAAGCATCCAAGAGCTTAGGCTTTTGGATCAAACTTGTAAATAATGCCGACCTCATTATTTGAGACAGGCTATGTAAGTATATATAACAGAAAGTAATGAAAAGGAGTAGATAGTGGATCATGTGAAATGTGCTTGGATTTTCATGCTCTATATACATAATCCTTCAGCGTAACGCTGATATAGTCACAGTGCACCTTTAATTTTAAAGCTTTACACTTTGTAGTGCTTTGCAACTATATTTAACTATATCAGTATAAACATGAATTAAAATTAGCTTTATTTATTCAACTGTGACACAAAACTTGTGAATTAGTGGCCAAGCGCTTCCTCTGACTACCGTAGGGCTCAGTGTCAATTATAATTAAATTAGGACAATTGTAGCATTTGGGGAAACGAGCCTGTTCTGTGTTTACCGTCTGTCCTCTCATCCTCCTCCTACATAGACAAACTGAGAGGATCACAGGATAGATGGGCGAGCAAGTGACAATCAAGCGGCAGGAAACCTGTTAGGAGGAGCCATAATTGCACGGCCTTGGAACAAATAGCTACTTTAACTTGAACCTGTAAAGACAGGGGAGATGGGCTGTCCCCCTCAGACTGTTTAGGGTGTCCTTAGCGTTGACAGATGTAAAACTTACTGGCTCGCAGTTTACCTAAAGCAACACTGACACACTGTTTTATATTGGCCGTTTAACTTCCTCCCCTTCCAAATAAGACTTTTTTTATATATTCCAAGTAGTGCCAAAGAGACTTTTTTAACATCTGGAAGTCATCCTTTCCCCCAATCCTCCATTTTCTGACTGCAATACTCTGGTTTATAAGTAGTTCCCATGGTGCATCCCTGCATGAAAACTCCTAATCAGCTCCACTGTCTCTACTATCAACACACCCCGGGTTTACAGTCTGACATTTCACATCAGTCAACATAACACCTCCTCAAACGTGTAACTGAAACAATATAAGACAATGTACAACCTTTTAAGGCTGACCCTCCCCCCTTCCCTTGTCTTGCCTTTAACTCTGGTAGAAGAAGGCGTGTAATCAAGTCATAGCTCAAAAATGCAGCATGTGTTTCTAATCAAAGCCGTCTGTGGACCTGGTTGAATTCACATGTTTGGACGTTTCAGCTTTAGTAGAAAACAGCCCATTTGTTGCGATGTCACTGATGTGGCAACAACAACTGGAACCAATTTAGGAGGCAGGGTGACCTCATGCTGGTCTGCTGATCTGGAGTACCAGATTTTTGCTTTGTGCTAATGGTTTCTCTCAAACAGAGGAAAAAATATGCTTGGAGACGCTTTAAGATTTTGGCTGTGATGGAAATGAAAAAGCTGGTGATGATGAGACAAATGTAACTGCGAATACACTCAAAGTAAGCCAGCGGTGTCATGAGGACTGGGTGTTGAGTTTCTTTGATGTAAGGTGCAAAGTGCCATCTTTGAAGACATTTTACAGCTCTGTCAGTGTCTGGAAGAAGTGGTCTCACACACACATGAACACAGACACACACAGAAAATGCATGATTTCTGTTCTTGGCTAAAACTCTGGGCACAGACTGCTGTTTCTTGTTATTGGAATCAGTATTTTATTGCTATTTTTTTCCGTGTTCACATCCTTAAACTTTCCTCCAAATATTACTGAAAAAATCTGCTTCTTCCAGCACAGGTTGTAGTTTTTCTTTGAGGCCTGCACTATATATTTTCTTTTATCCTGGTGTTCTGTGCTGGCGTCACCATTTCCAAGTGTGAGCTAAAAGTCTGCTCCTTGATCTTGTTTTCCAAACCATGTTCTTATGCAGAAAACTTTCCACACATGTGCAGGCACATGTCTCTAATCTAGAGCTGTATCAACTAAAACATTCAACATTTGTTTCGAACATGTTTTTTTTGTCTTCAAAGCATTGTGTTTGATTTTCAGTAACCTCAGTGTCCTATCTTTTTTTTTTTTTATTCTCAAAAAAGCAAAATGCTGGCTAACAAAAGGTTTCTGAGAGTATGACAACAGTTTTATTGACCATCTGCCAAGCTATGTTTTTTAAGTTGCAGTTTCCCTATAAAAGTAGTTCCCTGTAACTAAATGGAATATGGAAATATTCTAATTTGACTTTGTAAACATTAGGATTGGATGATTTGCTTTTTGAAGATTCTTTAGAATTCTTTCTAATGGCCTGCAGGGGGCTCCTCTGATTGCAAAATGTCAGATTATGAAGAAATCTACAGGCAAATGACCCTGATTTATGACCTCAGTAACCACTTTCCTAATGAGTTTACAGTCTCTGTTGTTAGTTCCAAGTTTCTTTAAATACAACATGCTGTTTATTTACTAAATTGTTTTCTTATTTGGGCTCAAAATGACAATAAAGCTAATGCTTTAGCAAATGCTTTAGGGCTGACCATTTGTTTTCCAAGCTGCTACTGTATAAGTGTTTCTTAGTTCCCAATGCTCATTTGCTACATCCGGTTTCAAAACCCCAAGATGGCGATGGCCAAATTGCTCAGCTCAACACTTCAAGACAAGAACCAATTGTTTCACAGTGGCTACATTAAAATTTTATATACAGTCACCTGGTGGGAAAAAACACCTAATTAAAGACTGACCTTTTAATCATGCATTTAATCTGACACAAGGATATATTTTAGCCCAATGAGTGATCTCACTGCAACACTAAGTGTGCTTCAGGAGTTCTGACATGAGTCATTCCAGACAGTAGAGGAAAACTGAAATAGTTTTTGGTCTTGGTGCAGACAGTTGTTAAAAACATGAAATGTAATGACTCTCAAGCAAAACCCATACAAGCAGAGTTGGTCACTGTCTCTTTAAAGCCCCCCTCATTAAGACACGAGTATATTGTTCCACAGGGCCTTGAACCACATTTTCCCTTAGTCAACAAAAACCACGGACTTTCCAAAGTTTTTATTTGGTTGAAATGCAACCATCTCCCCCCACCTATGTTCCATGGGGGAAAAAAGCATGCAAGATCGAGTACTGCTGAATATGAACAAATCTGGAAAGTGAGATTTAACCAGCTAGAGTAGTGAGATGCTTAAAACTTAGCTTCTAGGAGCTATAGAGAACAAACAGCAGAAACGTGCAGATGTGCACAGCTGGATCTCTTTGTATATTTAATTTGGGTTAAATGCACTGATCATCAAATGTCAGCATTAAAGTTTGTGTTAAATTTCTTTGGCGCAGATGAAGTGCACACATGCTGCTTTCACCACAAGGTGGCACTCTATCCAGTGTCCAACTATCACACCACAGCTTTACATGAAACTGAACCCAAAGAGAGAAAACAACTCATTTTGGTTAATTATATAAAGGAAAAATAGCTTTTCTTTTTAATTACACTCTCTAACAGCAGTCCAGTGCTCAGTGTGCCCCATGACATCACGAGGAGAACAAGTCAGTCCCTGTGACGACACAAGACATCAAACACTCCGGTGAGGGGGGGAAAAAAAGCTGGAAGCGTGGTTCAAGTAAAACAAGAACTCTCAGGTGTTCCAGGTCGCAGCTTTGCCAGCTGGAGACATCAGCAGCCCCACAGTCTCAGTGACTCCAGCAGCATCTCTGCTCCTCACATCTGCCCTGAATTAACATGTAGCATGTGTTCCCTCAAAGCTGAAATTCTTTTCACAGATGCACAATGTAAGGGGGGTGGGGGGCAGGGGTGGGGGTTGTGGTGACACTTAATGAATCTTCCAAAGTGGTCGAGTCGTGCAGGAGTAATGTAATACCACAAAGGTCCTCGTTTCCCTGCTCTGCACATTTTCACTGCCTCAGGGTGACATCACTCGCAATCACTGACAGATTTCCACTGAACTGTTTTCTGACATGCAGAGCTTCTTTTTTTGCCATTAGCAAATAATCCACAAGATTCTCCTTTCGTATTAATCATCTTTAAGCCTGACACAGACTCTTCAGTGGGCTGGAAACATTTCTCATCCACACCAGAACAAGTCAGTGGGACAAATTAAGTTGTCATATGCAAGGAGAATTCAACAATCCAGCAAAACCCCCGTCTATCTAAAATAGTTTCTCCTAAATCAAAATGGCACTTAATTACATTTCTGCAATATTAATAATCAACATAAGTCTAAACAACCAAGCCTAATTTGTACTTCAAAGTTTTCTCATGCCTGCACAAAAAGTCCAAGCCAGTATCTGAAGGTTAGCCACCTTCACACATTATCACCAACAACAATAGGTGTTAACATAAGCAGCTGATGGGGTTCACTTACCGCTGGTCTGAGATGAAACAATCAAAACCTGAACAACGGAGACCAACAGAAAAAGGAAAGTCCTTAAATGCACAAAGCTCTCCATGTCTATAAGAAAGACATGAGCTGTCCTTGTGTGCAAAGCGAGGGGAAAAGGGATGAGAAGAAGAAAAATGTTCAGGTTATCACTGCACCACCATGAATACAAGAGTGCCTCTCCTTGTAAGCAGCAGACCCAACCCTGACTGCGAGAGTGCTTTTTTTGTGTAGTTACAGCTTTAAATGAGAAGAATGCTGGCGAGCCTAATTTTCCTCCCCCTTTTGTCAGCCCTCTCCCATAACCATCCTCTCACAGGCTTTGTGGCTGTGAGAGAACTACACCCATGTTCACAAGCTCTCATAGTTTCCAGTGGTTCTTTCTATCTATCTTAAAAAATGAGCCGTCTTTACTCTGACGCATAGAAAAAGATACCAAGGAGGAGATAAGAAAAATGACTTTGCTTGTTTGAAGGTGATTTTTTGGTTCCTTTCCCCCCCAACTTTCCTCAAAAACGGGCAACAAAAAAAAACAAAAAAACCCCCTTTTTATTGCTGTCTCTGGGGCACCAAACAGGACAGTTTTTACTGGGCAATTAAAAGTAAGAATAGAGTTTATTACAATTGTTTTTCAAAAGGGAAACTGAAGTCAAGAAAGTTTATTTGAAGATTACATTAGATGGATTTCTTAGGCAATTACTGACATATTTAATTATACTGAGCAACAAGCACACAAAGAGAGAAAAAAACCAAAGAGAAAGAGCTGCCGTGGGTGGTCGTGACTGTAGGTGGTCATCGCTGGGAATCTGGAGTGTAATTTTAGAGAGAAATCTGGAGTCGACACCTCTTGACTTACGATGGGAACTTGGAAATCGCCTATGCAAACAACAGCATGAAAACCGAATAAAAAACAAAAATTTAAAAAAAAAAAAAGCAAAAATTTTTAAAATGCCTAATTTTTCCACTCTATCTTGTAGCACCTTAGCAAGGTTCCAAATTTTAATACAATCTAACAATTTTCTTGCCACAAAAACAACATCAATCTGCTTCTGATAATCTACTAATCTATTTCATAGACTGTGTTAGAAAGATGACATAGCCACAATTATATCCTCGTAGCATTTATGAGCCTCAGCTCTGAGATTTTAACTGTCACCTTCTTGTTTTTTGTCATTTTAATTTTTAAACCACTTGGGACCATAGTCAAACAAAAAGCTCGATTAGGGCTGTTACTAGCTAATGCTAACTCTGGTTAGCTAGCTTGATTAGCAAGATGTGGCTGTAATTGGATGCTGATTTTAGAATAGTTTTACAGTTACTTATGCTAGTTATGGCCTTTTTTCCAGTCTTAAACCTGTTTATTTGTGCTGTAAAACTTGTCTATGAGGATTGATTTGACTTCTGAGACAGCCCCAAGTGGCCATTGGAGGAAATGCAGTTTTTGGCATTTGTTACTGGCTTCACTTTACAGCCCTGGGAGTTGCTATTTGCTCACATTTGCCATAAATCAGTAAAATAGGCTTTAAATGAGCCAATAAATAATGAGCCAGACAAAGGAATAACAGAGCGTTTCCAAGAGAATGATTTTCACTTTCAAATATGATCTGTATATCAGTGTAATGAATAAATAAATAGCAACAGAAAAGCTAATGTGATAGAGCTGTAGTTCACACCTTATTTTTTTGCTCTTAATTGTAGATTAACTCTAAACCGAGTTTTGACACACAGACATCTAAACCTCAACAATGTGGCAGGAAACAGCTGTGTGCCATGTTCACCAGGTGCTAGAAGTGCCAGGTTATTCCATGTGTGTATATATAGAGAGAGCGGGGGGGGGGTTCATGACACTGGAGTAGAGGTAATGAGAAAGACAGCTGTTTTCTTGTTGGCCCTGCCCAGAAACCATGTCTGCCAATTCCCCCAGAGTCCCACAGAGCAGCAAGACTCACAAGAAGCATCAGCCATATTTTCTCTGTAAACTGAAGGATAAAGGAAACACTAGAACACCGACTGCAAACACTGCAAGTTGCTGCCTGTTTCCAAAGACTTTGTCATCGCAAAGAATGTTGCCAAAGGGAGAGAAAGTGATCTGGGAATCAATTAGTGTGAATCCTGGTTTGTCCCCTGCTGGTTTGTATACAGGCTAGCTTGGCAACTGACTGGTTAGAAAGTAAACAGTATTAATCTGCATGCAGAGGAACTGCCTCCCTGCTTGCATGTGCTGATTGGACTGCCTTTATTTAAGGCAAGCTTCACATTTATTTAAATTAAATGATTTGCCGTTGTTATAATTAGTAAATGAACAAGGTTCATGTGGGTTTTGTTTGTTTGTTTGTTTTTAAAGAGACTAAATCATTCGTTGTAGAACAATATATGAAGCTAAAGTTACTGTCCCCCATTTGTTTCTGGATTAATCATGGGTTAAAGCCTCAGGTTTGGCATGTTAGCCATCACTATCTTGTGGGATGATTTTTTGGAAACAGAAAAGATGGTGGCGTGTTAGCGGTTATTAGTTAACCAGCTAGCAGCCTGCAAGTACAAATGATTGCACAACAGGCTTTATTAGGTGTTAGATATTTAATTAAAATGCCCCAAAGGGCACAAAAACCACAAAAAAGGTGAAGATGTCTACCTCAGGGATCTCAGCAAGCTGAGCCGCCTGCTTCACGCACGTGTACAGACACCTACCTGTCCAACAAAGCAGTCACGTCCCTTGTAAGTAAACTATAAGCTTCAAAACAAGTGGAATGTTTGAATTTATTAAATGGACTCCTCATCTGTTTAAATGGGGGAAATTAGCTAGAAAGAAAAGATGTATATTTTTTTGGTAACAGACTCGCGTTTATGTGCTGTAAGACAGGCCATTTATGAATAAAGCTGGCTAGCTAGCCAACCCCAAGTGGCTATCAAGACTATTGCAATGTAAATATTAAATGCAGTTTATTCCAATAAGGAAATTTAAAGCATCATATTAACCATAAAAATGTAAATGAGATTTTAAAAAGAGCTAAAATCAACAATCGCTGGATAATCTGTGAAACAATCTGAAACTAGACAACTTAATGGCAAGGTTTTCTTCATGTATTAACATGAAGTAATCTAATTATTTGATTGCAAAGTTGCTTCCAGGAAGATTTCACGTTTTATAATACAAAAGACATTCAGCCACACCAACAACAAAAAATGTCTTTAAAACTCAATAATATACATCTATAGCTACAAATAGCAGAGGGTAAAAGTGCTCTTAAGTAATAAATCCTGCTTCAGTCTTAATATTTTTATGGAAAAAAGATGATAAAGAGGGGACAATTAAGCTAATTTTCAACCCATTCCTTTATTCTTGGACTCCGCAAGAGAAGCTTGTTCAAAAAAATATTTATTTAATTATTTTTTATTTATTTATATTTTTCGATTTTACAGGCTTTGGTGCAGCCCTTCAGTTCAACCAGCATCTGAAACAAGCTGTTGTAACATTCCTCCCACTCCATTGAAGCTAACTGTTCTGATTGCCCGCCCCTCATTAAGACAGGGATATGTGCTTTTATTGAAAGCCAAAAGTACAATGAAAGTGTGAGAATCTAGCCCCTAAATCAGTTTTAACCGTGACCTTTTGTACGTTTGCTGACCTCATCCTCATTATCTAAAACTTTACCCATGTTTAAACTGAATAGCCACCAATTATATATAAGACAGAAAACAGGGGAAAGCAGCGTAGGTCCCCTTTCATAACATGGTTTTGCATGCACAATGTCTGCTGCATCTTGGGTGATTTCCTAATCTATTTTGCAGTCAGCAGATCAATCTGCAGCTCTTGGTTTCTTTTTACATAAAAGGCACAGAGTCATGAACAAATATCATTTGCTAAAATTACGCTGTCATCACTAAGCATACATTAAAGGGGGAAGGGATTATATTTTCAAATTTCAGGGGTTTGAAAGATGATTAACCAACTCTGCTTCCTGTCTAAAAAAAATCATAAATATATGTGACCTGTCTTCACTGCACTGCAACTGAAAACTCTTTGGGCTTTGTCCAAACTCAAAGGAAGTGAACACATTAGACTGTGGCTGCACTTACTCTGTTATTAATGAATTAAGCAAGACTGCAATACTTATTTTACCAAAACAAATGTTCATAATGTCTTTACATCATCATCATCATCATCATACACCGAAAGACTCACAATTTACTCACATGTAAATTAGCCCCGTGTTATCACAAGCGATTAACGGCTTTATTTCTCAGCCTTTGCTCATTTAGTCAACTGAAAACAATAAGGTGGGATAGTCCATGCGTACAGCTTTTTGCTTGTATTTTTTCTTAATAAACACGTATTGATTTTAAAGAAGGTGAATGGTCTTCGTTTTCCAATTGCATCACACTTTTCACAGTCTCACGATGGTGGTTGCCAGTTGCTTTCTGACCAGTCTCTAAGGCCTCTGTGACTTGGAAGATATTCAAGCATGCTCCTGGTGCATGCTTCAAGCTGGGGTTGGTGGCAAAGCGCAAACAAAAAGTGTTCTTGATCTCTGAAAAGAATTCTGTACTGCAAACCTGAATTTTCAGACTTTACTGAAAATTCTGTTTGACTTGAAATAAAATGATATCTCTGGTCAACCCGGTCTCACAGCATTTTTTGAAATACTCACAATCTTTAATCTATTAATGTTGCTGGACATGAACTTCTATTTCCTTCTATTCTTCAACATGAGATTCCCTGCATATTGTGTTCCTAAACCAAATATTTTATCTTCCCACTTCCATATATTCTAATCTGTATGCATGCACACAAACTCAAATACTTAGGAAGAAAACTAGATTGCTTTGTATGACTATTTCACAAACTGCTGTGAGACTGTACTGCTCTTAATTTCTTGCAGGCCCGGTCCCTGGAGTTCTTCTAAAGATTCCTGGACTATGGATAGAGGTCCTGTGGTGGAAATGCAGCTTGCAGAATGGGCACGTTTTAGACAGCTCAACTCTGCTATGTGTTTAATGGCCCAGGAAAGAAATTATATATAGATCACTGACTTCACATTTGCATGTCTGCTGTATACGGAAGTAGTTATGAAAATCTCTGATCTGACACATCTGGCATCATCCATCTAT